CCGCCGGGTGGCCCTCCTGCCGGCTGGGTCCGCTGGCCTTGGTCTCCTCACAGGGCTGAGGTTAGGCCGGAAGACAGGTCATCGCCATGACAACAGCAGCACCTACTATGCGCAGGCCCTGCGCCGGCTGCTTTCATGCGATGAGGGATAAACAAAGCCGTGGTCATGCTCTGGTGTATCCCCCATCCCCCTGTCCCCCCAGCGGGGCTCACCTCTTACTGGCCGCGATGGGCACCCGCCAGCCCTTGATCTGGCTCAGCTCTGTGTCCGAGACCTCGATCTGCAGCGGCAGCCGGGGCGCCCACACGGTGACGTGCAGGGGGGCGCTCAGGTGCTGGTAGGTGAAGTTCACCACCGCGTCCACCTTGCCCTTCATCTCCTTCCCGTTGACGAAGACGTAGTCGCAGCGGTCGGACACCTGTAAGGACGGAGAGGGGAGGGGAGAGGGGTTCACGGGCCGGAGACCATCCCCGGGTCACCCCGTGGCTCAGGAGGTGCACAGGCTCAGGTCGGGGTCCCCCCAGGCCAGGCCCAGGGACAAGGAGGCAGTGGGGGGAGGGGGGGTGTTTGCTGGGAGGTGACCCTGGAGAGCGCCCGGGGGGGGCAGAGTGAGGGGGACAGAAAGAGGGAGAGTCCCTGGAAAGATGCAGGAAGCAGCCGGAAGGGGCAACGTGGACAGGGCAGGACCCCATCAGCGGTCCCCAGGGGGACTCTGACCATGGGCGCCCCCAGGACCTGCAAACAGAAGACTGGAAACCAGAAGCCCCTCCCCCAACTTTGGCGATAGTTACGCCTCCTGGAAATCAGACCGGGGTTATGTTCTTCCATCTGAGAAGACTGAGAAGTGAAAGGAGAAGTAGGTTGGGTTAGAGAGAAACACCATGACAGTCTGCGGAGCCGAGTTTATGGGACGGGACTGACGCTGACCCCATGTGCCCACATCAGCGGCCAAAGCGAGAAGTCCTTGCCGGCAAGAAGGACCTCGGCTCATCTTTGATCTCTTGGCTCCTCACACCAGCTGCTCAGGGGCAGCTCAGCAAAGTGGATACTCAAGGGATGGATGGATGGACAGACGGACAGATAGAGATGGGTGGATAGATAGAGAGAGATGCGTGGATGATGATGGACAATGCATGGATGGATGAGTGGATGGTGGATGGATGGATACATAGATAGATGGACAGTTTGATGGATAGATGCATGGATGATGGATGGATGATGGATGGGTAGATAGACAATTTGATGGATAGATGGATGGATGGCGGAGTGATGGATGGGTGAATGACGGATGGATAGATGGGTGAAGGATGGATGGATGGATGGATGGATGGATGATGGATGGATGATGGATGGATGATGGATGGACGATGGATGGACGATGGATGGACGATGGATGGACGATGGATGGACGATGGATGGACGATGGATGGACGATGGATGGACGATGGATGGACGATGGATGGACGATGGATGGACGATGGATGGACGATGGATGGACGATGGATGGACGATGGATGGACGATGGATGGATGATGGATGGACGATGGATGGACGATGGATGGACGATGGATGGATGATGGATGGATGATGGACAGCTGGATCGGTGGATGAACAGGTCCTTCCCTCACGGGCACAACCACTTCCAGACAAACCAGAACCTTGGGGTGCGGGGACCTGTGGTGAGAGCCGAAGGCAAGAGGGAGCCGAGAGCCTGGAAACCCAGGAAGTGAACTTGGAAACTGCTGACAGCACTTCTGCCGCCCGCTAACCTTTTCGGGGCCACTGCCTCCTGGGAGGACACAGGCAACGCGAGCTCTTGCGATGGAAATGCATGTCCTGCAGTTTCGTGGAAACGTTTCCGAGTTAATGAAGTCATTCCCGGCGCCTCCACAGGGCGCGTGCCCACCCTGAGCTGTACCTGCCGCGGCGCTCATCTGCCTCCCGTCCAACCTGCTGCCCGTGCACCCCCATCCGGTGCTGAGCAACGAGCCCCCCCATCACCCTCTCCCCCGGCTCCCAGGAACATGACGGCCACGCTGGGCCCAATTCCACCTTCACCTCCTTGCACTGGTGTTTGCAGGGCAGCCGGCAGGGCTGGGCTCGGCACACACACACACACACACACACACACACACCCGGGGACGGGGCCGGAGCTGGTGGGCGGGGCGCACACCCATCGATCTTCTGCTCGCGGTCCAGCGCTGGCTTGAAAATGTTTACACACCGATTCAGGGCGGAAACCAATTTCAGCCGCCGTCCCCGGCTCCTCATTAGCGTGGAGGCCGTCCTGGCCGCGGCGGCAGCGGCAGAATCGCCGGCGAGAGTTATGTCCGTAATCATTTCTTTAATCAATGTTGCAATTTACGGGCCATTGACTCCCTCGTTTATTACCTTCCTGAGCTCTGGTGGGAGGGGAGCGGCGGCTCCAGAATATAGAAGTGATTATGCCAACGCAGAGGGCGGGGCGCTGCGGTGCGGGGAGGGGGTGAAGGGGGGGCAGGAAGGAGGGGGCTTGTCCCAGCTCTTCCCGAAGGGGCCGTGAAGGCCTGGGGGACCTCGCTGCCCTCATCACGGGCCGAGCGGCCGAGGCGGAAACCACGTTCCCACAAGGAGCTGGCTCCGCTGAACCGAGGAGCCCAAACCCACTGGTTTATTTACTTTTTTAAAAAAATATATTTTTATTGATTTCAGAGAGGAAGGGAGAGGGAGAGAAACATCAATGATGAGAGAGAATCATGGATCATCTGCCTCCTGCACGCCCCCCACTGGTGGGGATGGAGCCTGCAACCCGGGCCTGTGCCCTGACCGGGGTGGAGGGGTGGGGGGGATCGAACCCTGACCTCCCGGTTCCTAGGTTGACGTTCAACCACTGAGCCACTCCAGCCGGGCCCAGGTCCCTTTTATGAGGGCTCCACCTCACGGCCTCATCGCCTCCCGGAGTCCCTCCTCCCACCACCACCTTGGGGGGGCAGGACCCCAGCAAAGGAATTTGTGGCGCGGCTCAGGGGTTGAGCGTTGACCTAGGAACCAGGAGGTCACGGTTGGATTCCTGGTCAGGGCACAGGCCCGGGTTGCAGGCTCCATCCCCACCAGTAGGGGGCGTGCAGGAGGCTGCCAATCAATGACTCTCATCATCGATGTTTCTCTCTCTCCCTCTCCCTTCTTCTCTGAAATCAATAAAAATATTATCTTAAAAAGAAAACTGTTCCGAAATCAAACTCCTGCTACAGGTTATTTTCTTGCCACTTAGGAGAGGGGGCTGGGGAGGGAAACGAAGTTCCGAGACAGAAACAGCAGATTCCCAGGCCTCGGACCTGCGCTGTGTCCCCTGCTCTGAAAACCACACCCCCGGCGGCTCGCACACAGTAGGGCTGCCTCGTTTTACGCCTGCGATGGGTCTCCCCATCCTCTCACCCTCAGGCCTCTCTGGAGTTTGCTCGCCCGTAAACACCTCAGAGAGACGGTCTCTGACATTTCCACTTAAAACTGCGACTCTCCCAGCCTCCCCCCTCCGCCCTCCCACCTCCTGGCTCTATTCCCCCTTTCGTCTCGGCCTCCTCGCACGCTGTCCGTCTGACCCGCCTGTTTGGGTTCCTATGTCTCCTCTATCGCTGTACTTAACCAAGGGCTGGGGCTGTTTGGTTCCGTGTTGTATCCCTAGTGACTGGACCAGCACGTAGTAGGTGCTCACGAAACGTGCACCGAAGAACGAAGGAAGGAATCGGACCCGGTAAACCGGCGGCCCCGCGCGGTGTTAAAATAGCAAATTAGCCCTAGCCGGTGTGGCTCAGTGGATAGAGCGTCAGCCTGCGGACCGCAAAGCGTCCCGGGTTTGATTCCGGCCAAGGGCACATGCCTGGCTTGCGGGCTCCATCCCCAGTGTGGGGCGTGCAGGAGGCAGCCGACCGGTGATTCTCTCTCATCGTGGATGTTCTATTGCTCTCTCCCTCTCCCTTCCTCTCTGAAATCAATAAAGATATATTTTAAAAAATAAAATAAAATAAAATAGCAAATTAGTTACCGGCGTTGAAAAGCCCTGGTCTTCCATTTCGTTACCGGCCTGAAGCCTGAACGCATCTGAGTTCTCTGCCCCGGCGTCCTGCTGG